CAGTCTAGTTTCAACAACTGGACAAAGATTGGTCAAAACAAAGATAATCTGAATAACATGATCTAAGTGATATTTGTAGAACATTACATCCAATAATTACAGAATATACATTCTTTACAAGTGCACAAGCTATGTTCACCAAGACAGATCATATGCCATGTCATAAAACAAGACTCTATAAATTTCAAAGGATTGAAATCATATAGAGCATGTTATCTGATCACAATGAAATTAAATTAGAAATCAACAGTAAGATACCTAGAAATATAACTAAATATCTACATATTAACACACTTCTAAATAATCCATGATCAAAAATCACAAGGAAAATTAGAAAACTCTTCAAAAACTAAATGATAAAAACACAACATATCAAACTGTGTGCTTGAGAATTGTGTAACTTTAAATGTTTATATGAGAAAAGAAGATCCCAAATCTTTGATACAAAGTTTCACTTTAAGAAGCTAGAAAAAGAAGAGCAAAGTAAAACCAAATAAGTAGAAAGAAATAGCAAAGAGCAAAAATCAATGAAAGTGAAAACAGACCAGCAATAGAGAAAATTAACAAGCCAAAAGTTAGCTCTTTGAAAAGACAAAAAAAAAAAAGGTGAATAATTTCTAGCTAAGGCTGATCAAGAAAATGAAGCACATATTGAGGAGATATTGGTCAAAGGGCACAAACCTGCAGTTAGAAGAAAAACAAATTCTGGAGATCGAATCTAACCAGCATTTTGATTACAGTTAACAATACTGTATATATACTTCAAAGTTGCTTAGAGACTAGATCTTAAATGTTCTTACCACAAAAAAGAAACAATAATTGACATGATGGAGGTGTTAGCTAAAGCTATAGTGGTAATCATACTGCAATATATAAATGTATCAAATAAACAAGTTGTACACCTTAAACACACAACGTTATGTGTCAATTAAAAAAAAAAAACAATAATAGGGATTGGAGTAGGAGTGGGTACCACTACAGAGCTTATAAGTATTAAAAGGATAAAAAGGGAATATTATAACCAACATATGACAGAAATTTGACATCTTCAGTGAAAAGGCCAAAACTTCCAAAAAAATTTAAAAATCCAAACGGACACAAGATGAAAAAGAAAATCTTATCAGCCTTATATCTGTAAAAGAAATTCAATTCATTATAAACTCCAGACCCAGATGTTTCCACTGGTAAATTCTTTTAAACACTTAAGAAAGAAACAATACCCATCTTACACAAACTCTCAGAAAATAAAAGGAAACACTCATTTTATGAGGCCAGCATAACTCTAATACCAAATCTGACCAAGATACTACAAAACAAAGAGAAAATTATAGACCAATATATCCTTCATGAATATGGATACAAAATTCCTTCACAAAATAGTAGCAAATCAAATTCAGTAATATATAAAAAGGATAATACTTTATGACCGTTTATCCCAACAATGCAAAGTTGGTTTAATATTCAAAAATTAAAGTACTGCACCATATTAACAGAATAAAGAAGAACACTCATATGATCATTTCAATAAATGCAGAAAAAGCATTTGACAAGATTCAATACCAATTCTCAGCAAACTAGGAATAGAGGGGAATGACCTCAGTCTGTTAAAGGACATTCATGGAAAACTTAAAGCTAGCAACGGCTAAAGGTAAAATATGGAACACTTTCCCCTAAGATCAGGAACAATACAAGAAGGCCCAATCCTACCACTTCTGTTAAATAGCGTAATGAAGGTCCCTTGCAAGGAAAAGAAAGAAAGGCATAAGGATTAGAAAAGAGTAATTAAAACTTGTCTTTATTTGCAGATAAAGTGATTGTTTATGTAGAAAATCCTAAGAAAGCTACAAAAAGAGACTAGAACTAACAAAATAAATATTTATCAAGTTCACATGATATAAGGTTAATGAGAAAAATTCAATGTATACTTACATCTTAGCAGCAAACAGTTGGAAAATGAAATTAGAATAAGTCCATCCACAATAGCACCAAAAAATATGAAGTACTTTGAATAAATTTTAAAATGTGCACAACTACTCCAATGAAAACTGTAAAACATTGCTGAAAGAATTTAAAGAAGATCTCAATAGGGGCTGGCCTGGTGGCGCAAGCAGTTAAGTGTGCACGCTCTGCTTCGGTGGCCTGGGGTTCACAGGTTCGGATCCTGGGCGTGCACTGGCGCACCACTGGTCAAGCCATGCTGTGGCGGCGTCCCATATAAAGTAGAGGAAGATGGGCATGGATGTTAGCCCAGGGCCAATCTTCCTCAGCAACAAGAGGAGGATCAGCAACAGATGTTAGTTCAGAGCTGATCTTCCTCACAAAAAAAAAAAAAAAAGATTTACATAAGTGGAGATATATACTATACTCATGGATTGAAAAGTTTAGTAGCGTTAAGACACCAATTCTCTCTAGATTCGTCTATAGATTCAACACAATGCCAATTCGAAATCCCATCCAACTTTTTTTTTAAGAGAATTTGAAAAATCTGATTGTATAATTTCTGTAGAAATGCAAAGGACCTGGAATAATCAAAGCAGTTGTGAAAAGAAGAACAAAGTCAGAGGACTTATAGTACCCGACTTCGAGACTAACTACAAACTACAGTAATGAATACAGTGTGATACTGGCATAAAGAGTGACAAAGAGATCAACATAACAGAATAGAAAGCTTAGAAATGGATCTATTAATCACTTGATTTTCAACAAAGGTACCAAGGCAATACAATGAGGAAAGCAAAGTCTTTTCAAAAAATGGTGCTGAAACAACTGGATATGCACATGGGAAAAAAAATAAACCTTGACCCTTATCTTACCCCACACACAAACATTTATTGAGGTTCAGAGGGTTAACTGTGACAGCTAAAACCATAAAGCTTGTGGAAGAAAACATAAGAGTGTATCTTCATGACTTGAAGTTAAGCAAACGTTTCATAGACAGGACACAGGAAATTATAACCATAAAAATTGATAAATAATAGGCTTTACCAAAATTAAAAATGCCTGCTAATTAAAAGACATCATGAGGAAAATGAATAGGAGGCAAGCCACAGCATAGGTGAAAATATTCACCAAACATATCTGATAATAAATTGGCATTCAAGATATATAAAGAATTTCTATAAATTGATAATAAAAAGACAGACAACTCAATTTTTAAAATAGGAAAATGACTTAAAAAGATACTTCACGAAAAGAAGATATATAAATGGCCAAGAATCTCAAGAAAAAATGTTCAACATCATTTGTCATCAGGGAAATGCAAATTGAAACCATAATGAGATACCACTACACACCCATTAGAATGGCTAAAATTTTAAAAACTGACAATATCAAATCTTGGAAAGATGTAGAGCAACTAGAACTCTCATATATTATATTCTCAACATAATACAACCACTTTGGAAAAAAATCTGTCAGTTCCTTAAAAAGCTAAATATATACTTACTCTATGGCCCAGAAATTCCTCAACTAGTATTTACTGAAGATAAATGAAAATATATGTCCACACAAATACTTGTATGAGAATATTCATAGCAGCTTAACTCATAACAGACAAAGCATGAAAAAGCCCAGGTATCCATCAAAAGGAAATTATAGCACAATCATGCAAAAGGAAAATGCAGTGTACTCATAAAATGGAATACTTCTCAGCAATACAAAAGAATTATGATATATGCACCAATATGGATGAATCTCAAAACATGCTGAGTCAAAGAAGCTTTACATAAAAGAGCACACATTGTACGATTATATTTACATGGTGTTGTAAAAGAGGCAAAATTAATCTATGGTGAAAAAATATAACACTGCTCATCTCTGGAGGGGAAGGCTGGGGTTGACTACAAAAGGGTATGAGGATACTTTGTGGGATGATGGTGATATATCTTGCTAGGGATTTGGGTAACACAGGTATATGCATTTGACAAAACTCAATGACTGGTACATTTACTATTTGTATATTTCATGTTTTGTAAATCTTACTTCAAAAGAAAAAATGCTGAAATATAGAAAAAAATGTATTGAAGTCTACAACTTACTGTGAAATGTATAAAAAATTAAGATAAATTGGTGGATGGATAAATGGATAGATATTTGATAAAGCATAAATAGTAAAATGTTGACAGAATCTAGATGGTGGGTATACAGGTGTTCACTATAAAATTCTTTTAATTTTTTGGAACTGCTGAAAAATGTCTTAGCAAAACATTGGAGGAAAAAGTTGAACACGGTAGAACAGAAGAGATTGGAAAGCCTAGATACTGGAAACCAGGAAGCAAAAATTTTTATCAGTGCACAGTACTGCCCAGGAACCATGGGACCCTGCTGGCCAATATGTCTGTCAGTTTGGAAGGGTATAATCTTATAATGGAGACGAATGCATCCAATTATCACAGCTTGACGCTAGCCAATTAAAATCATCAAACTAACTCTCCTTGTTCTGATATTTATGCTCAATAAGCAGATTTCTACTAATTATAATCTAGCTTACCACAAAGATTTTTACAGGACGAAGAGAGAATACACTGGCCAATCAACAGCCACCTGGCAATTAAATTTTTTACTGTTAACTACTGCTAACTAATGGGAGCATTATGATTTCTATAATAGACTTTTAAGTTTGGTTAGACCAAATTACACACATTAAGCCTGATCAAATCTCAGTCTACCAAAAACTAAATTCACTTCTCAACTGGGAAAACTGATTCAGGATCAAAAATAATAATTCATCTCCAATACAGATTTCTAAGACCTTAGAATCAGAAAGGCTCCTGAGACCATGGTGCTTGTTATCTACTTTTTTCTCATTATTTGTTGTTGAGACACTACATTAATGTCTTTCATGATTCCTTTCATATGGAATCACCTCCAAAAAAGCTTTTTATCAAGCAGAAAAGACAGAAGACATACAGCTTTCTGGAAGAAACTCGCATCAGAACATCTAAGTATAGATATAGCGAAGACAAATAGACCATATTCATAAGAATTGCACATTTAATTACCTGTGTGCCCTCATTATAAACATCTGGAAAAGAAGTTTGAGATGCTGTTTCATGTCTTTGCAAGGTTGGTTTATTTAGAAATTGGCTAATTTCTTTGGATTTCTGCTGGAGTTGATCTAAGGAAAAGAAAATAAGTACATATAAATGATCTCTGCCTCAAGTCTGAAACTTAGTGAGTTATTATCTTCTAGGGATACACTATATGCTGTTTACTCAGTTATCTGAATTAAAATTATGATGCCAATGACAAAATTTTTTTTTTTAACTGATTACATGCTCTCAAGGACCAAAGCGGATCTCAGCAAGCCACTTCATTCAAAAGTAAAATAACACAGGCCTAGGCATTTTTTAAAAAGTTATTTTTCTTTTCCCCCTTGAAAACGCCTTTAGCATTTTTTATTTTCTTCACTCTTCACTTAAGATTCTATACCACAGTTTTGAACATGAACATGGTCCAGTTAAGAGGACAGTGTGTTCATGTAACACATTGTTCCTATGTAATGCTCCTGAAGGCTTTCTGGTTAATGTTCAGTTCTTCAATAAAGATCTTCAACTCCGTTCTTTCTAAAATCTTTCCTTTAGATAAATGCTAATCTATCAGAATTAAACTAAATTAGAGGCACGTATTACTTTAATAATAACACATTTTAAAAAAATAAGTTTTCTTTAATTCTTAAAGGATAAAAATTTTCTTTAAAAAGAAATTTTCACTTTTTTTCAATTATAAGAAAAGCATTCAGATCTATCTGTAGAAGTAAGGATGGCTCCATGCAATTCAGTCTCCCTACCTACACACCTAAATCTGGCCTGCGTTTTCCATAAATTAACTCAAATCCTACTCATTTCAGTTACTGAATCCTTCAGACCATAGTCACGTTTCACATGGCATTCTTTTTAATATTTGACACATCATCAGCAATAGTTTCTAGCACTATAATGATATTTATAATATTAAGCCATATTATAATTTCAGTCAGAGAAAGGAGAAATGCCACAAAGAATTCAGAAGAGATACCTTTCTTAATCCTTCTGTTGATTAAACTGCTTTGAGCAAATGATGTCATTAACAGATCCCTGAAATTTTGAAGTAGGAGCCACTCAGGTACTAGACAAGTGGGCTTCAAAAGCGTTCCAATACTGACCTTCCAGCTGTTGAATGGCCTGGGCTGAATGAATTGCCTGTTCACTCTTATCTTGGAGAAGCTTTGAATTTTCATCCTTTAGGGCATCACAGGCAGAGTGCAGCTCTTGTTCAGTCTTTTGAAGACTCAAAATGTAAGAGGTCTTCTCTTCCATTTCCGCTTTGTGCTTCTGCTCCAAAGCACTGTACCGGGACTGTAGTTCAGCCTGGGCTTGGCCTCCTTGCTCAAGCTGTTCCAGAAGATGATGCATTTCTTCCTGCAGGTTATGGAAGGATAATTTTCTCTCTGCCACTTCAAGTTCCATCTTCTCCATCAGCATCTTGGACTCCTGTCTTTCTGTTTCAATAGTGTTCCTTAAAGTATTGTGCTCAGCTTCCATCTGCCGTAACTGCTGAGAGAGCATCTAAGAAAAAGAGACAAAGCCTCGTGAGCCATAAATTGTTTCTTCCATTTCATAGGCATAGTCAAGTGCCTCTTCTAGGTGAAGCATGGGGCTAGACACTCACGACCAAACCTACAATTGCATAAGAACCTCTGTTTTTGCTTCTTGATACATTTGACAGTTTATATTCATCTGTGTCATTATTTTTTATTCTCTGTCTCTCCCATTACAAAATAAGTTCAATAAGGGAAGGGACTTCTCCAGCACTTAGCACAGTATATAGCATATTGAGTACATGGTACTCAACAAATACTGAATGAATGAATGAATGAATGAATCCAGCTTCTGCCCTCAAGGAACTCAAGAGTTCAGTGACAGAGTCACACTTAACCAGATAATTATAATACAAAATGATAGAGGCCATGAGACAGACACTTATAAGGTATTAACAGGAGCAGAGAAAAAGGGAAACTTGCCAAAAGTCACATAAATGTAACTACCTATATAGTACCTATTAAGTAGCACAACTGGGATTTGAACCTGACTATCTGATGAAAGCCAGAGATGGGCCTCAGGGTCAGGGTATGGTTTTTGTTAGCATGGGAGATACGGGAACATGCTTCTATGCAGGAAAGAAAGTCCTTCTCAAGGAGAGCTGAAAATTAAGAAGAAAGGATATGACTTTCTCCAGCAGCACACTGCACCCAGATGAATGAGCAAAGAATGTGGACACTGATTCCACATTAGGATTTGGCTACTTGGGTGTGATAGGACAGGGACACAGGGAAACCAAGGGCTGGTAAAAGAGTAGTCCAAATGGTCAAACACAGTCCATTCTAGACAGGGAAAGGAGAGAGGCCAAGAAAGAACTAACATTCTAGAGGAACAATGTGAAAGGATCAGGGGACGGTAATGAGATTGAAGGTCAGGACAGTCTGAGAAAGGGAATGACATGATGGGTACAGTCAAGAATGGGATACTTGAGTGTAAGATTTTAGAATATCAGTGTCCCGGATTACCTTTAGATCCAAGGGAATATTGCATGGTGGGATTATTTCAATCTGACAGAAAGTCAACAAAGAAGGGAAAGTACATAAAGAACAAGAACCATTCAAGACGGAGAAGGGGTAAACTGACAGAAAAGAAACTCACCAGAGGAAAATATGACATCCTACAGAAACTAGGACCCTAGACCTAGAGTCACAAAGGAAAAGAGCAACAACAAAAGATGTGAAATGTAAGCCTCATGAGGGAAGGACTGTATCTGTTTTGCTCATCATTGTATCACCACTACTTAAGACAGCAAATCTATTGAAAGAATGAACAAATGGCATCAATTCTCTGAAGGCTTATAATAGAATTTCATATCCACTGCCTGGCAAACTAGTGGATGTGAATACTCCCAAGCCAGGCAGTAAAGACTATAAGGCAGTACCTGGTTTCTCTGTTCAGCAGCAGTCAGCTCCTGTTGCAGCAAGTCCACGACCTGAGCACGACCCAACAAGGCTTCTTCATGCTCTTCAAGCTTCCTCTGCAGCACCCTCAATTTCTGAGAAGAAAATGTTTTAGACATAATGTGCTAACAAATGAGCACTATTACTTGCTTACCTTTCAAAATGTCATGTAGATTTGTGTACTTAAGATTTTTGGATGTTGAGGATGACAGATTAAAGAGTGAGACACCAGCATGCCATGCTCCCCATCCAGCAGCAACAAAGAATCTCCAAAAATGCCTTCTCCAGAGCACTGGCAACAACTAAACTGAGACACAAGCAAGTCCCTGAATTAGGGAGCCTTTTTAAATTAAAGAAAATGACACATATCCCATATCAATGTCCTGTACCTAAATAAGACAGGTACATGTATATCTCACTCCATCAAAGAGAACATTCTCTGCAGGCAAGAACCATTTCTCTTTTAGTGTCATGCATAAGACATGCACTCAATAAACATTTGTCAAATGAATAAATCAATGATACATGTATACATTAACATTCTACTTAAAAAAAGTGTTGTATTCTGAAACCTTATTTAGTGGTGTATTCTGAAGGATTGCTTAGAACTTGGAAGAAGTTTTCACTCAAAAACAATTAAATGGATCAACCAGGAAATACCACTGGAGTGCCTTTGGGTACCACACTGCACTACACACTAAATAGAAACAAATACCTTTGAGTTAGTAGATGATAAACTCAAAAACAATGAAGCCAACTTTCAAAATATACTCAACACATTTTTTTAAAAGAGAATTATTGATTTAATAAAAGACTTTATGGCTTCAAAATCACTCCTTTTCATCTTTTATTTTTTGCAAGTTTAAAACTGGCTTCATTGATTTGAAGCTTTGGATCAGGTTTTTAATGCATCTATGATGAGCAAACTGAAGAGAAACCAATTTCTGACTACCACATAAATTTGCCAATTAAACTCAGCTTTTGAGTACCGACAACCTGGTTAAAGGGGTAGGAGGAAAGGTAAGGATAAGAAAAAATAATTAATATGCAACAGAAGACAAAAACACCAAAAAGAAGCCAATTAAAGAGCGCACTAGGACCAAATGAAGAGCAGTGGGTAAAAGTAGAAAAGTGGCTGTGATCATTTAATTAAATGTTAACCAAAATGACAATCATTCTACTAAGTTTTAGCAACACACCTGTTGCATCTCTGTTTCCACATCTGCCTGGGTTACTAACTGAAGAAGCTCATCTTCATGAAGACGAACCTGTGTTTCAAAGCGGGCATCTTTCTCTCGGACCACCTGCTGCATGGAACTCAACTAAAGACACACACCAGAGAAACTATACAAGTTACACTCCCCGAATATTGCACAAACAAAACTCACAGACTGTTCTCCAAAGATACACTGAGAATTGATAGACAATAGGTTTTTAAATTAGATCGTGAATGTCAAGGATGAGAATGTTGAAAGAGAGATATAGTCAGGCCCGACAGTAACTTCCACATGTGAGAGAAAGCCTATTACCAAATTCAGAAATCAGCCTAAATATAAATTTTGATTAAAAATTATATTTGCATGGTTACTAGAAATGTTTAAATACATAAGAGGTATATTTTTTTAAAGTTCTAAGGAGATTAGAATATTAAACATACAAAGTGAAGTTAGGTTTCTGTTAAGTCCTAGACACTTCTTTCAATATCACAGTCACGCTCAAAAACTTGCCATGAAATTCTCATGTCCTATAAGTCAAACTTCAAACTAATGGATCTTTTATTCAAGATTCTCTACAACTATAAATATAAATCTTTCTTTCTAGTCTTATTTTCAAAGAATTGCTTCTACAAAGAACTTCGTATATTTCCAAACCCACACCACGTCCCCAGACAGCTATTTTCAGCTGTCATTACTTACAGGCTTCTAGATCACCTTCATTTGTAACCAGCTCTTAACAGAACGAAATCAAAATATACTGACTGATTATGAGCCGCTCAGTACCAATATTTTTGTTTTGTTTTGTTTTTAGGTTTTGTGTGTATGTGTGTTGTGTCTGCGTGTATGTGTGTGTGTGTGCTTATCCGTTTCCTTAAGATCTATAGTTGGGCATGCCAACCAGCTCTTAGCTTGCCCATTTTGCACCGGTCCTTAACTATTGCTGATTTCTCAGTTTGCGACACTTTGAATTGACCTTGGCTATCCTTCTAGGTAGGACAAAAAAATCTTCATAATTTTTTTATCTGAATTCTGACATCACTATGAATTTGGAATCCTGTGTTTTAAATACACAGGCACTGGAGTCCTTCATTGGCCAAACACATCTACACATCCTTTCCCATAAATGTACCATATTCTTTTTCCTCTCTGAGACTGCTCACACCATTCTCCACAAATGGAATATCTTCCCTCACCTTGTCTAGAACATTATCTATCCATCACAGTTTTGCCTAAATTCTAACTTTTCCATGTAACTTCCTGGTTGTCACACTCACAGTGACCTCTTTCACCTCTCAAAATACTTTTGAGTTTGAGTTGCTACTTGCTACGCACTTATTCTGAATGGCTTGCATCATGACAGATCTGTTAACACATTTATATATCTTGGCTTTTCATGCTTTAAGCCTCTCATGGGTAAAAATCATATTTTGTATTTTCCATCCTACATTGTATAATAGTGCTCATACATAAAAGGACACAATAAAAGCTAATAGGTAAAAGTAAAGATTTCAGGATACATAATTTTAACTGTATAGACAGCAGTAAGCCATTCAAAGACAGAAGGCATCACTAATACTCAATAAAGTTACCAATAAAGTAAAAACCAAATACCCGATGGACAAGGTTAGTGATTGTGCAAGGGCACTTCAGGGAAAAAAAATGTTTTATGAGTCAACAGCATTCCCAAAGGAGAAATATGGGAGTAGGTGGTCAAACTGGAAATTTATAAAAACAATGAGAGTTGAGGACGCCAGTCCAAAAAGTCTGGTCCTGGTAGCAGAAATAAATATGAAGAAGAATGTTACATACTGGTGCCATTTAACATTGAATCACATAACTACACCACTTTCTTATTACACACTCACTAAGTAATCTTCTGATTATAATTTAACTTCCCATTAAGATTTTACTATAGGGAAAGAATGGACCCAATCGTTTGTATTTCTTTTGGTTTATGTGTCAGTCTCTTGTGAACTTAGCATGAGCCCATTCCTAAGAGACTGAATCTTTGTATGCTATTAAAATCAAGTTTCTGGGCCTGGAGAACTAAGAAACAGTCATCAATTAGGCTACAGCAAATTCATCAAGGTAAAAACACTTCTTCTAATTTCTTCTACTACCACAGCCTTCTAATTTCTAATTTAATATTCTAGCTCTTACACTTTCATCTACTAAGGTTTTAAAAAGTGACTGAATTGCCTTGTCATGTAATAACCCATTAGACTTTCACGATTCTTTATTCTGATTATGAGGAACCTTCTACCCTACCTGAGCAGCTTGCTCTGCCTGCGTCTGGCTGAGCTGGGCTTGCAAAGTGCTAATGAGTTCCTCCTTCTCTTGGAGCTGTTGCTTCATCATTAAAAATTCTTCCATCTCTTTCGAATTCTTATCAAACTGAAGACGTAGAAGGAAAAAAAATATTTATTCAAGTAAAAGAATTAGCAATCTTAATTCTTTGACCTCCCCTTCCCATTTGCCCTAAATATCTACCAATAGCCATCTAATGTCCACTTAACACAAAAAGGAATTGCACGTACTACGGTTTTTAAAAAGTAATCATCAAAATTTATTTGTCAGAGGAAGATAGAACCCATCACAGCAGTTTTTCAATTTCTCTGAATGCTCACATAGAAAGAGATAGTACAACTAAATAGTAAAATCAAAAACCCATGGACAATATTTACAATAAAATTAGGAAGGCAGTCCCACAAACTCCAAAATACAAGTAGGTAGGGACAAACCACCAAAAGGTGTGAGACCTGCATGGTATTAGAGTCTGTGGAGAGGAAAGCAGAAGGCAGCACAAAGCAACATCCTTGAGAACAGGAAAATCCCCAAACAGCCCATAATTACTTATTGGAAAACACAGTTGCCCAAACTTAGAACAGCAGCTTAAATTAGCAAGACCTTCCCATTCTCCAATATTGGGTATGTGCAAAAGGTCCACGGTAAGAAGGACTAAAAGGCTAGAACAATCTAGTTCCTCTGGACTCTCAAAACTGACTTATCAGGGCTGCCTTCCAAGACCTGGACCTGCACTAAGCAGAAACATCTAGGAATGAAATAAAAATTAAGCAGATTAGGGATAACTGAAACGGAAGGAAAAGGTCTATATGTGTACTATATAACTCATTACCAACTAGCGACATGTGGCTATAGAGGGCTTGAAATACAACTAATACGAATGAGGTATTTAGTTATTAACATTATTTAATTTTAATTAATTTAAATTTAAAAACTGAAGAAGTATAAATTATTTTTCCATTAAATACAACTGTTTTAGTATGACTACATTTCACTTTATTTGTTGCATCACCTAAGATATTGTTGAATTGTCTTGCAAGTAACAAGCGTGCATGTTGTTCCTAGTGTTATAACAAACCTGTCACCTATCTATAGTAAGCGTCAATGGATTGATTCAGTTTGAATGATATTTTTTCTACACACCTACATAACATTGTAATGTGCTTATTTGAATACCTTATGCAGACAGCATGAGTAACAGTTGATACCTATGTAAACCATAACTGGTAATTAAACTGACATAAAAGGCTTATTACTATTTTAACGGTAACTGAATTATTTTTCTAGTTCAAAAATAAGTATAGACACATTTTTAAGTGTAAAATGAAGGCATAGTACTGATGCATAGTTCATTCCATTTTATTTCTAATTAGCAGTCCAGTATGTAGATATACCACAGTTTGTTTAAATATTCACCTGTGGATGGACATGTGAGTTGTTTCCAGTTTTTGGTTATTACAAGTAAAGCTGCTATAAACATTCATATACAACTCTTTGTATGGACATATGCTTTCATTTGTCACAGATGTTGCTTTGTAGTTGATATGCTTTTCAAAGTAAAATTAATTCTCCTAAAAATAATGAACCAGTTTCTCAATGTCGATGTAAATATTAAAGGAAAAGGATGTTTCAGCACTCAGTTCAGTTACTGGAAAGCTTTTAGGTATGTTGGGAACAACTTGAGTAAATGAATCTATTTTCTCAACTGGAAATTTTATTTCATATAAACACATTATTTCCTAATGACATGTAGCATCAAAATTGAGACATAATGTAAAATGTACACCAACTTTCAGACTTAGTGCAGAAAAATATGTAAAATAACACAAAATTTTTTTTCTGTTCCTTTTCCAACTTTCAGTTACATTACAAAAAACCTCCACCCAGTGCTTTAGCCTTAACATACAGAAAAGGAGGTGGTGTCACCACAGAGCTAATGCAAGGGGAATCCATGTGGATGTGACTTAATAAAAGTTTTAAACTTATACCATGCATATTTACATATATAGGCCTACCACGCCTTCTGTTTAAGTCAGTTGCTTGAAAAATCATAATTGAAATCCACAGGAAAACAATATTAAAAGAGGGATTATAGGGGTCAGCCCGGTGGCATAGTGGTTAAGATCACGTGCTCTGCTTCAGCAGCCCAGGGTTCACAGGTTCGAATCCCGGGTGTGGACCTACACACTGCTCATCAAGCCATGTGGTAGCACGTGTCCCACATAAAATAGTGGAAGATGGGCACAGATGTTAGCCCAGGGCTAATCTTCCTCACCAAAAAAAAAGAGGGAGGGGGCAGAGGATTATGAAGGGTAAGGATTCTCTGATGTAAGGAAAGGCAGCGTTGGGTTTCCTGAAGCTGGGCTTGAAGAGGCCTACACAAGTCTCCAAGAGAGTATATGGTCACAGAGAGAGTTGTTTCAAACAGGGTTTTGAAAACATCAGCAAGTGTTATGAGAAGAATTACTAGTGTATAGTAGATGACCAATAAACAGTTGTTGAATGACTGAAAGAATTATTAAAAATATAGTAGGGTTGATGACACAGGCCATAATTCAAACATGCAAGAAAAGTAATTCTTTTCTACAAGGAATCTCATCTTGCTTTTGAGCCCACTCGACAGAAAACAACAACTATCTTCAACTTGTCAATGAACGTAACTTAAGTCTCTTCCAGTTTTAGCCAATCCTTTTCATATATTATCTCTGTTGCTTCAGGATTTAATCTCAGTAAATTACATCTTTTTTCTCCCTCCTTCTGATGACTTCCTCCTCAGGGAATTTCTAAGTTCTTGCAGATTTGAGGTAGAGATGTTTTGGCATTGACATGCTCTGGTCTAGCTTGTCCCAACTGGCAGGGCATCCTGCTCGTCTCACCTGCTTCCAACTTGCACCCACTGTTGAAATGGGTAGGCCCTACTCTAGACTCCAGTCACACGGTCCCCATATTCTGCAGCCTCCTTGTCCTGACCTCATGCATCTTCCAGTCCTCTTAGCATTTGTGCATGCCCCACAGAAATTCTGGACTCCTTGATGATACGCACATGCCATGGGAACCAGAGGTGCTAGCACAGGCTCATTTGCCTAGACCTCATCTTCAGACATTTCAAATCAACCACAGCTGGCTGCTTTACTGAATACAGGGGTTACAGTTTCCCCAGGCTATGCCCTTAGAAACAAGGAAGCCCCCTGCTCCAGGATTCTCCTAATCTCTCTGGCCCTCCCTACCCTCTGCCTGCTTCCCAAAGATTGGATTGTAGGGTAGAGGAAAATAAATTTTATATTAATCTTGAAAATACAATATTTTGAATATATTGGGCTAAATGAAATATACTGTTAAAATTAATTTCACCTGTTTCTTCCTTACCATTTGCAATGAAGCTTCTAAAAAAATTTTAAATTATACATGTGGCTCACATTATATTACTATTGGACAATGTTGGCAGAGACCAAAGTAAGGGCAAGGGGAAGAAAGCCAGGAAACCTCAGAAATCTAGCTGCCATATCTTTGAACACAGCACAAACACAACAGAAGAGAGAGGTATGCTAAGTAAAAAAAAGTTTTCCTGAACCAAGCCTCCTTCTAAAAGTTCAGGAAAATTAATTTAACACAAAAATAAAAAACAGAAAAGAATTAAAGCCCATCAGCTACTACTAAAAAAATCTAAGGAGCAGACTAATATACTTACAGGTGATAAAAGCATATCAGAGGCATGCTCAAAAACCAAATCAAAATTGCAATCTATTTCAAAAGGTGCTAAAAAAAATTAATAAAATTATACAAGACATGAAAGAACAACATAAAACAGAATTAGAAAAACTTAGACATGAGGTGACAGAACTAAGGAAAAATTTAATATAAAAGAAAATATCATTTTAGAAAAGAAGACAAAACAAGAAGGAACACAAAAGTAAATAAACAGAAAAAAGAAGGCCTTAAGAGAAATAAAAAAAAGAGGAAACTTCCAAAAAATGAAGAAAGAGATAAAAAGGAATCGAGAGAAAGTGACAAATATTGAAGATAATCAAAGATAGAACATACAGATAATAGAAGTCCCTAACGAAGAAAACAGACCAAATACTACAAGCTACCTAATTCAAGGAAACTCTTCTGAAATAAAAATACGTGAAACCATACATTGAAAGAGCATACTGGGTATCTACAAATATCAACCAAGAATGACAAACACCAATGCATGGTCTAGTAAAACTACTAGACTTAGGAAGGAAGAAAGGGAAGAAGGAAGGAAGGAAACTGATAGATAACATAGATAAATATCCGTTGGGCATCTACAAAAATATACTTGTCATATAATCATCCCCTGAGCTTTAGTGATTTTCTTAATGATTATAAGGTGACTTACACCCCTACCTGTGCAGTTTGGTCTGCCTGTGCCTGGGTAAGCTGGGCTTGCAAACTGCTAATTAGTTCTTCCTTCTCCTGGAGCTTATGTTTTATCTTTTCTACTTCCATCTCTTCCTCCGTAGAACTCTTGTCATGCTGAAAATGCAGGAGATAAAGTCATTTATTTAAAAGAACTACAATTAATATACATTTGATCTTTTTCTCTAATTTGCCCTAGTCAACCATTTGATTACAGTTTTACCAAACTGATGGGAGCAAGAAATAACACCTGACCTGACAACAAGGAAGGAATCTTAAAGAGTTTTCCAGTTTCAATATGGCCAAGTAACTCCTATTAAACCCATCCTCCCTCCGATAACAGCTATAAACTCTGGACAAGAGAGAAGAACCGCTAACAGAAAATGCTGGAGAGCAACCAAAAACGAGAAGATAATGGAGGGACTCAACTTGGAAGACATGGCACCGAGTTGCCCATTTTTATGATTTTCAGTCTCAGGGAAAAAGGAGTTAGCACCATGCAGGACTAAAACTTAATAGAAAATTCGTAGTCTCACTGTCTTGAAGAACCAGAGGATGGGATTCAAGAAACCACAGCAGCTGTTAAGTGAGGGGCAAAACATCATAAAAGAGCCAGTGAAGGGAAATCCGAATCTTTCAATAGTCTATTTTTTTCCCCAAAAGCTCTTCCTTACACTGAACCAGATTCTGCCTCCCTATTGAACTCACCACCCCTAAACAAACCTAGTCTGCTTACTGGTACAACACAAAATAATTTTACACTTTCTTCCACATAATAGTCGGTCAAGCATCTGAGGATTGCCATTATTTCTTCAACCATACTTTACACAGAATACCTAGCTCTGTAATGGGTAGACAATGGTTAAAGGGCTGTCGTGACTGATTGCTGGAACTTATAAATCATTTAATCCAACCGTTTTATTTAACAGATGAAGGAAATGAAGCTGTAAGATGTTGATTTAAGGTCTCAGAGGCTTTAAAAAAAAAGCCAGAGGATAAATTGGATAATTTAAAAGTCTAACAACATAGCAGAGGGAAAGTGAGAAGAAACAAAGCAACATGGGGAGAGATAGGTTTGTGTGACCACAGCCAGGCAAGGAAGGAATTATTAGAGGAAAAGCCCAGAACTAAGAATAGAAGAATCAAAATGAAGAAATTATTTGAGAAAAATGAGAGAAGCACCTAAAATAAGCTTTGAGAAGTTAGGCTTATCATAAGGCTATCAATGCAGGAAAAGTAACATCTCTGAGCATTAGATCCAGAAAGGAAAGACTAACCAAAGTCCCAGGAAGCTAACTAGTGACCCCAAAGGTTATGCCTAGAGAATCGATTAAAACCTCATTTCCCAAGAACTAAAAACATTGAGAAAAAGAATACTAGTGGGTCAAAGGGTGAAATTAAGAAAATAAAAAGATTTCTTATGCAGAGTAAAGTCTAGGTCAACTGTAGTGTGCAAATGTGATATGCTGGCCTCCATATATTCTCACCAAACTCTTCACAAAACTGAAGTTTCTTGTTCTCTAAACGGCTGGCTGAATGTGAATATTTGGGGTTTAACCATTGAGGGCAGGTAGTAAAAATGAATACTGGGACAATGCTTTACTCCTCAAAAGGTACCACCTTCATGACTCCTCTCTCTATCTTAACTGTTTTCTTGGTAGCAGTCATAAACCTAGAGAGCCCCCCTTACAGGGAGCCCAAGGAAATCTAGCTGATTTGGCCCACAATGCATGAAACTTTAAGCCACTACTATGTGGCCATATGTGGACATAGAATATTCTGTATCATGTCACTGAATTAAAGTATTTCTGGGCTGGCAGAAACCTTAGAGACCATCTAGTTTAATCTTCTAACCAATGATGAAACTTCCCCAAAGGTATGTGCCTCTCCTATCTGAATGCCTCACTTCAGTATTTATTTCTTCCTGTTAGCCTTTTAAATTCTCTGGAAGTCTGTGTCACAACTGGCATTTCATTTCCATGTTTCCTGTTGGCCTTTTATTCTCCCTGTGTGTGGCCCAGAGCCCAGCTAGACTACAAGCTCAGTAAGAAAGAAGAGCCTTTACTTTAGTGCTGTAATACTTTAGCCTCAAAAAGGTTTGTGATTAGTGAAGATCTGCTATATTAGGCTTTTTCCACTCAGAAAATATGTATTATACCCAGTCGCCATACCTTAGAGAGTTGCTCCTCTGACTGAGGTTCTGTAGGCAGAGCAGTCCCTCCTTGTGCCTTCATTTCTTCTATATGTTTATTCAAAGAAGTTAATTTGGCCTTAGCATGAAGTTTTAGCTTTTTTATTTTGTTCTCAGCAGCTTTTCTTTCTTCCTGCCAGAGAACAATGATGGTAAATGCATAAACGTTTACTCATCACTTATCTAGCACATAACAAAAGTTATTCTCGGTAGGCATCATCTTACAGTACTAGGGAAATAAGAAACAGATTCTCTAATAATCTAAGTGAAGAGAAAAATATAAGTGAATATTATGTCTGTGTTTTATGAAATGCTCGGCAAGAAAGAACAAAACAATGTTACCTGTAGAACTTCATCCTGTTGCTGCAGCTGAATATCCTTCTGTCTAATGACTTCTTTTAGCTCCACCACCAACTGCTCTGCATAAGCCAGGCGCTCCAGAACATCCTCTTGTGTTCTATCATTAAATTCCATGTCAGATGGTTGGGGTAATTCCTAGTATTTAGACAAAAAGGTTGCCAATGCACCAAGGAAAAGGTATTAGCTTCCAAATGGGAGTTCTTTCATTCTAATGTCATTTATCTTTTGCCCAGCTCATATCCTTGCTTGAGAAATCTTTCCAACTCTGATCCAATAATAATTATTATCATAACAATATATTAAGTATTCTGTAAATGTTAAGCACTTTACAAACATTATCTCATTTACGTTCTTATTATCCTAATTCTACCAAAGAGAAAAATAAAGGGAAGCAAAGATCACAAACCATTAAGTGGAAGAGTCCAAAATTTAAAATTAAGAGAGTATTTGAATAAAATTCTCTTAACCACTAGGCAATACTGCTTGTCTTTTCAGAGAACTAGAGGACTTCTTTTGATTCCTATGTGGCCTCAGAAAATACAATCAAACCATAAGAGAAGTGGTAGATGGCTTTACAATAGCAAACAGATATTCTCAAACCTGAAAAGTGCTCCAGTTCTGCCCCTTGTCATTCAAACCTTTCCTATGGAACAGGAATATATACCCCAGGGAGAGCTGAAACAATCTAGCACTAAACAAGGCTCACAGGAACAAATGAGCAAGACTTTTAGAATCTCATCCAGGAGTTGATTCCCATCACTGTGGCTCTAAGGCTACAAACTTGAAGACAGATCATTTATAAAGTCTCAATATTTTTCTTAATCCTCTCTTCCACCTAGCACAAGGGAGGCTGCTCACACCCTTCTATCTTAAATTCTTTTCCTCAGAAGAACATAGAACAGATGTTTCCTTAATTTAATTCAGAACAGAGCTACTCACAGGATCTAAGGAAGCCCTTATATTCTGATCAGTGTCATCTCCTGATAATTCATGTAAAACAACATTTGCTAATCCTGACAATCGGCTCAGCATTTCTGCAGGAAAAGAAAACATAAGAATCAGTAAAATGGATACAGGCTTCTCCTATATCAGTAACTATAACATCTACAAGTGAAATAAGAAAACTGTGCAGGTGATATATATTAGACACAGACTGTACATGATGATGTCTTTAAAAAGACAATTGAGTATATACAGTGTAGTCACACACTGTTCTTTTCAGTGGCAACTGCACAAAGATTTTAATCACCATCACTAAATGAAACACACATACATAATTGTTTAGTGGAAAATAATACATGTTCTCTTTAATGCCTTTTCTTTCACCACGATTTCATTTACAAACATGAACTTCTAACTATTCCTTCCCCTGCCAGACTGTTACTTTGTCAATTAAACTCCATGATTCAGTGAAATTTTTCTTTTTATGTGCCTCATAAACCCCATTCTTTCAGGAAGCTTTCTTGATACACCATGTAGTTTCACTAAAATTTAAATATAATCCTTGTTCAAAATGTATAGCATTAAATGCACATATTAGAAAAGAAGAAAACTCACTCAAGAAGAAATAGACAACCTGAACATATTGATATACACACACATCATTTATTCATTTACTTATTTATTTACATATTCAGATCAGTGTCAACTGACAGTCCATAAACTCCTTGAAAGTAAGAATATTAATATTTTGATAGGAAAAATCAAAATAAAACTGGACTGTACACAGCACTAATATAAGTGATTATGCTGAATTTTATGTTTAGTGATAAAATGTTACTTGACTTTTAAAACCTTCAGCAGAGAGAAATATAAAAGCTGTTGTACAAAAACAAGCACGTGAATAAAACTAGTCTCTGCTACAGTTTTCTTTTACTCAGAGTAGTAACAGTGTTTAGGGTAGCCATGGTCCCTAATCAAGAAAGAAGTGGGGAGACCTTTGTTTCTATAACAGGTTGTCTTGGATAACCTAAGTAGCATACAGCATTTGAAAAATATGTGTGAAACAGGAAAGGAAAGAGAGAACCACTCCCAAGAGGGCAACATAGGACCATATATAACTACACATATAGCCACTGGAAGGGCAACATAGGGTCATATATAAGTAGCAGGACCATACAGAACCACTCATTCAAGCTGTGAGACTCATTACTAGTCAGTTAAAAAAACAAATCACAACTCACCAGTAGACGGACTCTAAACTTTCTTTTCAACTCTACAGATTCAATTTTCTGTTAATGAAGGAAATGAACACCATAAGTAAAGAGTCTTTATTACGCACATATGTTTGCACTCAACAAAGGAAGTCACAATAGAACCTAATTTATCAAACAGAATCACTTTATCTTCAGATTTTTCAGACTCCACTGGAAACAAGCAAAAAAAAAAAAATCAATCAATGGGACTCTGAGAAGACGGTAGTAGCAGACAACATAAATTTTAGATCTTCCTGAATTCTCACATAAAAATAGACACAGCAACTAGGTAAGAAAACCAAAAACCAATAGACAGGCTTTACCAAAAAAACTGTAACAAAGTTTCCCACAAACTGCAAAATGAACATGGATTAGACAAACAACCAGTAGCCATAAGATCTGCGTGTCATCGTTGTCCATGCAGGAGGAAGAAGAGGGAAGAGAAAGGTGGCAGAATATGCCACCCCAAAATATGCCATTTTGGGATAAGGATTATTTTGAGCTAAAGGCACATGATAAACAGCAGGTACAAGAAGAGCACTCTGACCTCCCCTTCTTCTTCCTGAAAGCAAGAAATAAACGCTGCATATGGAAGATGTCCTCCCTATACCAGGAGGAAAGTAACATTCTTATTTCCAGTGATGGGGAGTTGTGGCTGAGAGAAATCTGTGTAAACTAACACTTGTCTTCCTAGTCACTTCTCCATGATTAACCATCCCCTTTTGCCTTGTCTCATTTTCATAATTTACTACTGTTTGTCCAACTCAATATATAAATGTTAGACTCTTACTGCTTCTTTGGGTCTTCATTTCCCTATGAGGGCTCCTGTGTGATATAAAACTTACATTAAATAAATTTGTATGCTTTTCTCCTGTTAATCTGTCTTATATCAATTTAATTCTCAGACCCAGCCAAAAACCCTAAGAGGATAGAGACAAAATTTTACCTCCCTTACAGAAGCTATAAGAGTGCAACAGACCTGATACCAAGAGAACCGCAAAAGAGCCAGCGGGACAAATTCCTAGAAACATACAACCTACTCAATCATGAAGAAACAGAAAATCTGAACAGACCAATAACAAGTAAGGAGATTGAATCAGTAAACAAAAACCTCTCAACAAAAAAATGCCCAGGACTTGATGGCTTCACTGGTGAATTCTACCCAACATTTAAAGAAGAATTAATGCCAATCCTTCTCAAACTCTTCCAAAAAATTGAAGAGGAGGGAACACTTTCAAATTCATTTTACAAGATACCACCCTGATACCAAATCCAGACAACGACACTACAAGAAAAGAAAATTTATAGGCCAATATCCCTGATGAACATAGATGCAAAAATCCTCAACAAAATACTAACAAACTGATTTCAACATCACAATAAAAGGATCATACACTATGATCAAGTAGGATTTATTCCTGGGATGCAAGGATGGTTCAACATCCACAAATCAATCCATGTGATATACCACATTAAAAGAATGAAGGATAAATATCATAAAATTATCTCAATAGATGCATAAAAAGTATTTAACAAAATTCACCATCCTTTCATGATAAAAACTCTCAACAAATTAGGTACAGAAGGAATGTACCTCACCATAATAAAGGCCATATAAGACAAGCCCACACCTAACATCATACTCAACAGTGAAAAGCTGAAAGCTTTTCTTCTGAGATCAGAAACAAGACAAGAATGCCCATTCTGGCTACTTCTATTCAATATAGTACTGGAAATCCTAGTCAGAGCAACTAGGTAAGAAAAAGAAATAAAAGGCACCCAAATCAGAAAGAAAGAAGTAACATTGTCTCTGCTTGCAGATGACATGATTTTACATACAGAAAACTCTAAAGACTCCACCAAAAAATGGTTAGAACTAATAAACAAATTCAGTAAAGTTGCAGGACAAAATCAATATACATACAAAAATTTTTGTATTTCTACATACTAACAATGAACTGTCAAAAAAAATTTAAGAAAACAATCCAATTTATAACAGCATCAAAAAATAAAATACTTAGGTATAAATTTAATAAAAGAGGTGAAAGATCTGTACACTGAAAACTATAAAACACTGATGAAAGAAATTGACAAAGACAAATAAATGGAAAGATATCCCATGTTCACAGACTGAAAGAATTAATTTTTTTTTTTGAGGAAGATTAGCCCTGAGCTAACATCTGTTGCCAATCCTCCTCTTTGTTGCTGAGGAAGATTGGCCCTGGGCTAACATCCATGCCCATCTTCCTCTACTTTATATAGGACGCCGCCACAGCATGGCTTGATAAGTGGTGCATAGGTCTGCACCAGGGATCAAACCTGCAAACCCTGGGCCGCTGAAGTGGAGCCTGTGAAATTACCACTATGCCACTGGGCCAGCCCCAAGAATTAATATTTTTAAAACATACATACCACTAAAAGCAATCTACAGATTCAATACAATCCCTATCAAAATTCCAATGTCTATTTTCACAGAAATGGAAAAAAAATCCTAAAATTGTATGGAACCACAAAATACCCTGAATAGCCAAAGCAATCTTGAGCAAGAACAAAGCTGGAAGCATCACATTACTTGATTCCAAAATGTTACAAAGATATAGTAATCAAAACAGTATGATATTGGCATAAAAACAAACATATAGACCAATGGAACAAAATAAAGAGCCCAGAAAAAAAATCTATGCATCTACTGTTAATAGATCTTCAAAAAAGGTGCCAAAAACACAGACAGGGAAAGGACAGTCTCTTCAATAAATGGTTTTAGGAACACTGGATATACACATGCAGAAGAATTAAATTGAATCTTTATCTTACACTATACAAAAGTCAACTCAAAATGGATTAAAGACTTAAAAGTAAGACCTGAAACTGTAAAACTAGTAGAAGAAAACATGGGAAAAAGCTTCTTGACACTGCTGTAAGTAATGATTTCTTGGATATGACCCCAAAAGCACAGACAACAAAAGCAAAAATAGACAAATGAGACTGTATTAAACTAAAAACCTTCTGCACAGCAAAGGAAACAATTAACAGAATGAAGAGACAACCTACAGAATAGGAGAAAATATTTGTAAACCATACATCTGATAAAGGATTAATATCTAAAATAAATAAGGAATTTAAACAACCAATAGTAAGAAAACAAATAACTCAATTTTAAAATGGGCAAAGGATTTAGATAGACATTTCTCAAAAGAAGACATACAATGGCCAACAGGTATATGAAAAATGTTCAACATCACTAATTATCAGGGGAATGAAAATCAAAACCACACTATCACCTCACACCTGTTAGAATGTCTATTATCAAAAACACAAAAAATAACAAGTATTGGCCAGGATGTGGAGAAAAGGGAACCCTTGTACATTGTTGTGGGAATGTAAATTGGTACAGACACCATGGAAAACAGTATGGAGTTCCCTCAAAAAACTAAAAATACAACTATCATATGATCCACAATCCCGCTTCTGGGTATATATTCAAAAGAAATGAAATCAGTATCTTGAAGAGATATCTGCACTCCCATGTTCATTGCAGCATTATTCACAATGGCTAAAATACAGAATCAACCTAAGTGTCCATCAACAGATGAATAGACAAAGAAAATGTGGTATATACACACAATGGAATACTACTCAGCCCTAAAAAATAAGAAAATCCTGTCATTTGTGATGACATGGATGAACCTGGAGGACATTATGCTAAGTGAAATAAGCCAGATACAGAAAGATAAATATTACATGACCTCATCTATATATGGAATCTAAAACAGTTAAACTCATAGAAGCAGAGAATAGAATAGTGGTTGGCAGGGACTAGTGGGTAGGAGAAATAGGGA